TATATATATATATATCCATATATATATATATTCCCCTTAGGAATATGGTACATGTACACAACACTTCACAACCTCACCCTTTTTATCTCATTTCCCTTTCCTCCCTCCCTTCTCTACCATCTCTCTCACTATTGCCTATTTTCTATCTTTATTTTGCACTTTATTTAAATTTTGGGTTCTCACATTAGAGAAACCATGTGATATTTAAGGCTGAGAGTCTAATTTTACTTAACATTATAAGCTCAAGACACATCCATTTCCCCACAAATGACTCATTTATCTTTCTTCATGGCAGAATAGTACTTCACTGTATATAAGCACCAAATTTTCTTTATTCATTCATCTGTTGATGGACATATAGGTTGCTTCCAAGATTTAGCTATTATGAATTCTGCTGGTATAAACATGGGTAGGTATGTATCACTGTAATATGATATCTTTAACTCATTGTAGAAGTTACCTGGAGGAGAACAAGTGAGTTGAATGAAACTTCTAGCTTTACATTTTTGAAGAATCTACATACTGATTTCTCTAGTGGCTATACAACTCTATATTCCCACCAACAATGAAGAAGCATTTTCTTTCCCCACACCCTCTCCAGGATTTGTTATTTGATTTCTTGAACATAGCAATTTTTTCTGGGGTGACATGTAACCTCAGTGCTGTTTTAATTTGCATTTCTTGAATGGCCAGTGATGTTGAATACTAGTTCACGTATTTATTAACCATTTGTATTTTGTCACCTGAGAAGTGTCTATTAACTTCAGATGCTCATTTTTTGATTGGGTCTTTAAATTTCGTGGGGAGGTCTAAGTTTTTTTAATTCTTTGTATATTCTAAATATTAGTCTTTTGAGGAGTAGTTCCCAAAAAATTTTTCCCATTCTGTAAATTGCCTTTTCACTCTGTTGGTGGTTCCCTTTGCAGTGCTGAAACTTTTTAATTCAATGTGAACCCATTTGTTAATTCTTGGTATTATTTCTTGTGCAACTGGGGCTCTGTTCAGAAGGCCTTGCCTATACCAATGTCTTCAAATGTTTTACTTATTATATCTTAAACTGATTAAGTGTTTTGGATTTAATATTTAAGTCTTTGACCCATTTTTATTTTAGTTTAGTGCATGGTGGGACAGGTGGATCTAGGTTCATACTTCTGCACATGGATAGCCAGTTTTCCCAGCACCATTTGTTAAAGAGGCCATCTTTTCTCTAAAGAAAGCATTTTCCCCTCTTGTCAAAGACAAGGCAGCTGAATGTGCTTGGCACTGTTCCTGCATCCTTTATTCCAAGATGGTGAACCTTTTAGAGACTGAGTGCCCAAACTGCAGCCTAAAACCCACTTATCTCAAAGTGCCAACCCTGCAATTAAACCTGCACAGTTTAGAGAAAACCAACTCATACAACTGTGACATCATTGCAGGGAGGGCTCTGTGTGTATGCTGCAGCATGCATGCCATAGGTTCACCATCACTGCTCTATTCTATCCTACTGATCCATAAGTCTTTTTGCCAAAGCCAGGCGGTTTCACCACTGCAGCTTTGTAGTATAACTTCAAATCTAGGATAGTAATGCCTCCTGCCTTGTGCTATTCACCCAGCTTGCTTTTGCTATTCTAGATCTCTTCTGATTCCATATGGATTTTAGGATTATTTCCTCTAGTTCTATGAGGAGTGCTATTAGAATTTTGGTTGGGATTGTATTAAATCTGCATATCAGTTTTGGAAATTGGCCATTTTGATTACATTGGTTCTACCTGTCAAGGTACACAGGGTATCTTTCCATTTTCTCATATCCTCTCTGCTCTCCCTTTTTCAGGGTATTGTAGTTTTCACTGTAGTATAGTAGAGGTCTTTCACTTCCTTAGTTAGGTTAATTCCTAAGTATTTAATTTTTCTTGAGGTTACTATGAAATGTATGTTTCTCTAATTTCTTTTATGGTGAGTTCATATTGGTGTTCAAGAACACTAATGATTTTTGAGTGTTTACTTTGTATCCTGCTATACTACTGAATTTGCTTATTAATTCAGGAGACTTGGTAGAGTTTCTAGGGTCTTCTGTGTAGAGGATCATGTCATCTGTAAGCAATGTAATTTAATTTCTTCCTTTCCTATCCATATCTTCTTAATTTCTTTCCATTGCCTGATTCCTCTAATGTTTTGAGACCTCTATTGAACAAGATTGGTAATACCAGACATCCTTTTCACGTTTCTGATTTTAGAGGAAAAGCTTTCAATTTATCCCTATTTAATATGGTGGCCATTGGTTTGGCATAGATGGTTTTTATCAGGTTGAGATAAAGATCTTGCATACCTATTTTCTTCAGGGAATTTTAATCATGAATGGATGTTAGATTGTGTCAAAGGCTTATTCTGTGTCTATTGAGATGATTTTGGCCCTTGCTTCTCTTCATATGACACACACACACACACACACACACACACACACACACATATGTTGAACCATTCCTGTATCTGTAGAATGAATCCTACTTGGTCATGATGTATGATCTTTTTGATGATTTGTTGCATTCTGTTTGCCAGTATCTTATTGAAATTTTTTGCATCTATGTTCATTAAAAAAATTGGCCTATAGTTCTCTTTTTGGTTGGGTCTTTTTTTTTTTAATTTTGGAATCAGGATAACGTTTGCTTCATGGAATGACTTTGAGAGAACTGCTTCTCTTTCAATTTTATTAAAGAATTTGAGCAGTATTGATGTTAGTTATTGTGTAAAGTTTTTTTAGAATTTGGCCATGACTCTGTCAGGACCAGGGCTTTTCTTAGTTTGCAGTTTTTTTATTCTTCAATTTCATAAACAGATATTGAATTATTCAGAATATTTGTATCTTTTGGGTTTAGATTTGGAAGCTCACATGTATCTAAGAATCTATCCATGGCTTATGATTTTTCCATTTTATTATAGTACAGGTTCTCAAAGTAGTTACAAATGATACTCTACATTTTGGCAAAAATCCCTATTTCTAGTTACATGGATTTGATGCTTTCTTTCTTGGTAAGCTTGGCTTTGGTTTGTCTGTTATGTTTATTCTTTCAAAAAACCAACTCTTTGATTCATTGATTAGCTGTACTTTTAGTCTCAGTTTCACTAGTTTTTGCTTATTTTCATAATTTTCTTCCTTACCTTTGAATTTGGATTGTTTTTGTTCTTCTAGGACCTTGAAGTGCATTGTTAGATTATATATTTGACCTTGCTCTATTTTTCTGATGTGGGCATTCACAGCTATAAACTTTCCTCTTAGGACTGCTTTCATTGTGTTCCATAGGTTCCAGTATGGCTTTATTGTAGGAACTGTCTAATTTCCTCTCTCATTTAATCTGTGACCCACTGATTATTCAAGATGGTATTATTTAATTTCTATGCATTTGCACAATTTCCGTGGTTTCTTTTGCTATTGATTTCTATTTTCCTCATATTATGATCTGATATATAGATGGGATAATTTTGATGCTTTTGCATTTACTTAAGCATGTTTTATGGGCTACCATGTTGTCTATTTTGGAAAAAGTTCCACGTAGTGCTGAGAATAATGCATATTCTGTTGATGGGTGGAACACTCTGCAGATACCTATTGAATCATTTGTTCAAAGATTTGGTTTAACATTGGTATTTCTTTCTTGATTTTTCATGTAGTTGATCTATTTGTAAAAGTGGGGTACTGAGGGCCCCCATTACAATTGTGTTGGTATTTATCTGATTTTTCATGTCCATAATGTTTGTTCTATGAAGCTGGGCATGGCAGTGTTTGGCACATATATGTTTATAATTGTTATCTCCTCCTTAATTGATATGTAGTGACTTTCTTTGTCTCTTCTGATTAGTTATGGCTTGAAATCTACTTTGT